AAAATGCATCAAGTTGATATCTGACCCTGATTAAATGATAAGATGCTAACTGCAAGTACTCAACACCAGAGAATAGTGGGGTAAAATGTTTTACCCTGGGGAATCTAAAACAAGGGACAACCAACAGCATGGTACAACTAAATTCTGGACTACATGACTATATTTACTAAGCTAAAAAACCTTCAGATTCAGTACTGTTTTAATCACTATAGAAAAGCAATTAGGCCAGATTCATAAAAATAGTGTCCTTTTGAAGCTGTCTATTTAACAAGTGTTTCCACATTTACCAAACACAAATGTTAATTTAAATTTTTTGACAGAAAATTATACTTGACCTAAAGTAATTCATCCAAGGCTAATCACTTCACATGCCCAAAGTAGGGATAACAGAATGAGTTTTGTAGGATCAGTGTCCTTTAACTCAGAAAACCTAGAACCACTTATCAGAGGAGCAATACATCTCAGTCCAAAACAAGCTCTCTCAAAGTCATTAGATAATCTATGCCCAAGAGAATATTCATTAGTGTTATGAAATTGATGTTGTTTATGGAGAGCTAATTGCATTACTGGTAAATTAGATTTCAATTCTCTTGCATAAATGTACCATACAGTTTCCCATTTCCTTTCATATATTATATATTCCATAAAAGAAATATATCTTAACTAGTGTGTTTTTCTCCTCATTTCCAATCACTTGAAATTACTTTAAAGGTTTGTTTGATAAAGATGAAGAAATTCAGTCCCAGTGGAATACTGGTGGTTTCAGACCAGAGCATGCACTAATAGATGTGCCAGAAGATCTACCAGGCTCATGCTGTTAGACTTTACTGCCCTCAGTTATGAATTCAAGCCCAATATTGCATCTTCACTTTAACCATAGAGGTTTTGAACAAAGAAAATGAAGAGTTCTTCTTACTTGACTCAACAGCTAAAACAGATCTGTAGCAGGTCAAAGACACAGCAGGAGCAAAGCAGGTCCTTGGCAAACCTGTGCCATTTCCAGAAAACTGATTCAATATTGCAGACATTTTTCCTCACATTTTGCTTTCCCATATAACCAAACTAGACAGTTTCCTAAATTACCAAATTCTATAGTGTCTATAGTGCAATAACCAACACCACAATCAACTATTTTAAACTCTGCAACCAACATCATAATGCAGAGAGTCAATGCAATTCAGGCTCTACATTCAACCAGAATGCAACTTCCAAGAAAAATACATCAATAAGGTAAATAAAATGGCCAATTCAATTCTTTCTTTCTTTTGTGATGGGTTATTTTGGAATAAAGCTGCCCAATCTAATGTCATCACATGTATTATAGTAGTGTTTTTAAAAAGAAAAATTGAACAGTCTGAATTTAGCTTGATATTTTGAACAGAAGCAATATTTTATGCTATTTAGTAACATCTAATGTTTGGCCACTGAATGGATGTCATTCCACCTACTCAAATTCATAAATATTAAAGCTCTTAAACTATTATTTCCTTTTTATCAACTACATTTGAAATTAATTATCTTATTAATGACTTAAGATTCATAACAGGCTCATCCCTGCCAACCAAAAAAGGGAAGAATTCAATTAAATTATTGAGTATTTAATTATACACAGGTGACTTTCAGTCTGTAGCAAGATAAGGAATCACAATGGACAGTCAGTGTCAACACACACCATTAAACCAAGTGCTTCTGTGTCCAAAGAGGAATGGCCACATTGATTCTCCTCTCATTTGGCAAGACTAACAGCAGGAGAGCAGTAAAGCATGGATGATGTGTGTTAATGCTAACACATACAACAGCCTTCCTCCCAATCAGCTGCACTCATGTCTCTATGAGCCTTACATTTTAAACTATCTTGCAGTGACTGTCTTGTTTTGTCAAACAGATTTGTACCTTGGGAGGAGTAGGGGTAGAACTTACATTATCATAGTTAACAGCACATAAAAACCTAAAGCAGGGAGAAGACTGGGAGGCAAAAAGGAACATATCAGCATTTAAATGTAAAAATCATAACTATTTTATAGTGTATAAAAAGATACTAATATTTAAGTCTGCATAAAGCGACCTGACAAAAGACTGTGGTGTAAAACAAAAACCACAAGAAAATGTACACAATTGTGTTTCTAGCTTAGAAGTGGCAAATTTCAGTTTTTCAGTCTCAGAGATTTGAGGGGAGGAGTGGGAGCCTTTTCTATGAATGTAGACAGGTCATGGATAAAGGAAAGGAGGAACACCACCTTTTCTAAAGAAAAGCCCCTCAAATGCTAGCATCCATGCACTCAGTAGTTGGCTTTGTCAGGGAACAACAGCAGATTATTTTTGATACCTTAAGAACAAAGTCATTCACTCACAGTCACGTAGCAAATGAATTATGCTGAGGAAAGAACTAAGTCTGAAAAAAGCAACAGACCATAATACTGTGGGGACAAAAGGTTGATGTGTGAACAATCTGTTATGCCCATCCCTAAGCAGACAGAGCAGAGCAGCAGCCTCCAAAGCCTTTACATCAAAACATTTTTATAAGCAGGAAAAGAAGTTACAAATATTTAACTTCAGTCATTGCCTACTGCCTTTTGAGTATATCCAGCTTCCCAAAATGCTTTTTTAAGAAGCTGAAAACACACACTGCAGTGAACCAAATCCTGTCATCTTTACAAGTCTGAAACAATAACTGAAAACATGACTGCTCACTCTGTCCTTGCTACTAAAGAATAACTTTGCAGGGCAGGAAAATACAGGGTTGACAGGAAGGAAAAAACCCATAAGATACTATCTATCCTCCTTCTCCTCTCTCATTTTAGATTTTAACTAAGTCAGGTTATACACAGTAGCAGAAAACTGTACATCTTGTAGTACTCTCTCCAGAACTCTTCCTTTTGCTTTTATCCTACCAGTCTCCCACTCTCACCAACACATTTTCTCAAATTTTATCCACTGCTTGCCACACTTTGTATTCTACTTCACTAATCTGCTTATTATCAAATTCAAAATACTGGGGGTGTAGGAGTGTGGATTTGGTGCAACAAATGGTTAAGTAAAAAAAGGAATGGAAAAGAAAACTGTACTTATCTAACAAATGCATATATTGGCAGACACTGAGGAAGAGCCACTTTTAATCCTCAATAACTAGAGGACATTGGCTTCCCTTCTTTCTCCAGTCTGGCAACAATATTGTTGTTCTTGCACAAATAAAAATGGCTTTCTCCCCTGTGTGACTTGAAGCTGGGCATTGCCTCATGCATAATGCAAAAGGAAGGTTGTCTGCTCTATTCCCCTCCTAAATAACATTGTGGGACCTTACCATGATAGCACCAGGCAGCCAAGTCAGAAAACAATGCTGGACTGACTGGAACAGAGCAGAAAATTCTGAATGCTTGATACTTTGTACTGGTCATTCTTTGAGTCCACAGCAAGAAAATATTTACCTAATAATTTATCAGGGTTTTTTATTTAGAAGTAGTTTGCAATATTATGCCCTGAGTAAACCACAAGTAGTGCACTCTAATACTATCACCTTACATGGCTCTGCAATTTTCATAGAGGAGCATATGAATTTACTTTGGTTATTTAACAGCATTTTATTCTATAGTTGGTAAGAAATTATCCAACTTGCAAAATTTAACTGCTTGATTTATAAAATGTTTAAATTGCAACAAAAACCAGTAGCTTAAAGTCCTTTAAAAATACCACAAAATACAGCTAGAAGTGTGCAGTCAAAGAGAACTCCTTCCAGACCTTTCACTCTCCTCTTTCAATGCTCTGAACATCAGCATTTTTAACGCACCAATGGTACTTTTCATTGATTTGTTCTTAGGAACTACTGGTAGAAAAAACATTGAATTGTATGGCATGATAATGTCCACCCACACTTCTGTAACCCACTGCACTCTTGGGACAACCACCCAGACAGTGACCCTGGTCTCTCTGAAATACACAGTATGGACAAACCTGGGACAGCCCCTAAAGGCAGCAGCTGCCAAAACCATCATTAGTGCATTGGCGTGCCTGATAATTCATTCTGAGCAGTCCCAGTCCAATACAGCTCTGATAATACACACACCCAAGTGTGCTGGATCACAGGCAGCACTATTTTTGTATTTCATCTCAGCTGTCACAGCACATACACTACATCTGGTAACAGTGAGGAATAAGAAAAACTCTAGATCAGTAATCTATCCAAGCTTCAGCCTAGCAAACTTAAGGTTGATCTACACTTGTATGCAAGTGCCAAAAAATTATGAACTTGTATTTCTAATCTACAAGTCCATGTGAATCATAATATTCTGCAGTAGAAAATGCCTCCCTCTACTTCTCTCATTTAAAATTGAAATAAACATATTTAAATTACAAAAAAAATGTAAAGAAAAAAATGATAATCAAATGTGCTTGTAAGTTAGCACTAGGGAAAAAAAAATAAATGCTTGCTTAGACATCAGAGTATCTTTAAGTAAATTCTTATTGTGGCCTTCTTAGACTAACTCACAGCAAAAAGAAAAAGTTAATTTTAATATGCAGCTCTACAACTGCTTTAAAATAATGGTATGGATGCTGAAGAATGAAGTCCTATTGTTATGACTTACTGTGCAGCTCACCACTGATGACACAGGAGACAACAGAAATGTGGCTGGGGAAACACCAACTTTTAATTTAAATACACACAGAACACTTGAAGCACAACTAAGATATACCATTTGCAGATGACTGGTTTATGAGGAGGCAGGGAATTGTATCAATCTAATTATGCCAGAGCAAGAGTGTGTCTGTGCATGCTCATGCACAAAAGAAAATATGGAATATTGATCATATCTTCCTGTGCACAAGATCCTTTCTTATATAGATGCACAGTTTTCTTTCCCTTAGAGGCAATAGGAAAAAAAAAAAGACAAAAAGCAAACTAGTGAATTTAGTGACAGAAACACAAAACAAATGAGTTTCTCCCCTAAAGGACAGCAATGTTTCCATGGCAGGGTTATCAGGCTCATTTACTGCTGATGCCATACCTGTTGAAGTTAATGTCTGGATAACTGGAATACTCAGACTTCATCTTTGCATTGCGACGTGGAAAAGTACAGAAGAAAGCATTGGCCAGAAAGCTGGAGATCTGCTCCTGGGACATGGTGATGGAGTGATTCATCTTTTGTTTCAGCAGAGGTATTGGCTACCAGCAAAAGAAATGAGGGGGAGGAAGGGGTAGGGGAGAAAGGAGGGAAGGAGAGAGAAGAATAATTAGCTTACCCTTTTTGAAAGAAAAAACAGAAGTACAAAATTACATTTGTTATATTAGAGCAAGAATAATTTAGGCCATTGGTAAAGCCTTTAATCAGCAGCACCCTTAAAGTCAAGAACAGTTTATTCAAGACAATTCAGAAAGGGCTTGCCTGGCAAACTGCATATTTCTAATCAATAATAAATGGATCAGGAAAGCACAACTTATCAAACAAAACCATCAGGAATGTAGAGGGGAGAAAAATAGATGGGATGTAGCAAATCCTGGGCAATGTTAAAAACTGAAACAAAAATCCACTTTCAATAGCTGTATAGTTAAGACCCCTTCAGGGAATGCTTTCAGCTGCAATAAGCTTGCTTTGAACTTTACCAAGAAACAAGGAAGTCATGCCACGGATCATAACTCTATGACTTGCTTTGAATTTTTTTCCATCCTACTTGAAGAAATAACACTGTTGGTATTTGTAGAAAGTGTGCAATTATTCATTCTTTTATAATCAGAATGAACAAAAAGCTCAGCTTCACTTTGGTCTTCAGCAGTTTGAAGTTCTATTTTACTCTGGTCAGTGTTTCCTTAATACAAAAAGAAATAAACGGCCAGAGGGAAGAAAGAACTCCCGAACTTGAAGCATTAGACATCTTTCATTTTATCAGGCATTAGCCTTCTAATTTTGAGCTTTGGCTCACAACATTCATGGTATTTCATTGTTTTAATTATGTGTTAACATGGAGCATGGCAGAGGCACATCATTCTGACTGCTGAGTCCAGTAACCATTACAGTAAATCCACTTGACAGGAGAAAGAACACAGTCTTCAGCTGCTTCCAAAATTCTCAGCCATCATCATTAGCCTAGCACCAGTACAGCTACATTTTCATCCTTCTAGTTGTGAATACAGAAACTGATGTTGATTTAGACTGTTGAATACCCAGCCCTGTTTACTCTAGAAAACAAACAAGTATCCCTTCATTCTTATAACTACTACATTCACATTCACTGAATCTCATTCTGTCTTCTGGCTATTTAATTACAACCTTTATTATGATGTCTGAAGTCACACAGCTAGAGGGGGAAAAAAGCCTGAGAAGCTCACTCTAATAAGTTCTACAAACCTATAAAAAGAGAATATTTTGGATAGTGTTATATTGGAACAAATTTATCTTTATGTCTAACCAAAAAAATGAGTCTGACAGAGATCTTTACAATTTACATTGCCTAGCAGTACATGATCTCTAAAAGGCTTGCAAGTCTTGTGCTTAACTTGTGCTCAGAAACTTCATAGCACTTTCAAACAACTTCCCTCATCGAGTTACCAGCAAAGTAATATTCATAGCTTGAAGTTATGTATATACTTTGGGACCCTTGCAGCATAAAAAAGCAGGGAAATATTTTTCCTGCTTATTCCCAATAGGATAAATTCAGAAAATGGTAACAAAGAAGTTTACAAATTGTTGTCATCCTACCAATATGTTACCTACCATACATCCTCACTCGACCAGCCCTACTCACTTTTATCAGATTCACTCTTTACAGAACTAATTCTCATAGCATTAATACAGAATTGGTTAAGGTTTGCACGTGTGCAAGCTCTAAACAGAATAAAGTAAATAAAAGCTTTATAAAAATACCACTTGTTAGATTAAAAAAATTCTAAAATAAAAAATTAGATCAGATTGAAATAAAAAATTGAATCAGATTATTCAATTGTTCCAGTTTCTAAGGTTGATTTTACAACCTGATTTGTAGTGTGGTCATTTCATTTAATAAATGCAAGAAGCAACTTCAGCACATAGAAAGGAAAGGGTTACTGAAGTCCAGTCTAAAACTATGACAGTGAGATGTACTTTTTTTTGCATTCTATGACATAATTGCAGATGTGTATTGTCCATTCTGCTCCTTAGGTCTCATCTGCCTTCAACACAAAAATTACAGCTTTTATTAAGAACATAACATGACCCTGATGTTTTGACCTTAGCCACCAGCAGCAGTTTGCAGAGAAGGGCCTTGCCACTGAGCACTTGCTAGCTGGGTTTGCTTACCTGGGTGCAGATACTGGGGAGACACAGTGCCAGCTTGACCATATCAGGAAGAATGGACTGGAACAGATGTTGAGCCTCTGCATCTTCAAGCACCTGTTAAAAAATAAAAAGGAAAAAAAGCTTTTTACCTCAGAAATAAGGATTGAATTAGAAGTTTATGAAAACAGGACCTATACAAAAGAAACAAGAAAAAAAAAAGAAAAAAACAGGTCCTCTTGCTTCATGCCAAATCTGTAACACTTTCGCAGCAGTACCTCACTGAATTCGCCTTGCAATAATGCACTGAGATACAGAAACAAGTCTCAAAAGTTGCACTTGAGAAAACATGTCACCAAATGCCCTTTCAAGAAAGCTTGAGTAAGTTATCATTTTATTCTTTCCAAGGCAATGAACCAAATTTTCATCTGAAAAAATCACTACTTAACCACAGAAGTACTGGAATGATTTACTCAAATTCCATATTCAGGTCATATTCCAAGACAAGTACCTGTGACATCCTCCTATAAAGGACAGACAAAATGCACTCCTGCTCAGATCAGGAGAGTTGCTGGGCCTCTGCAGCAGCAACAGGAAATCCTGTGCAAGAGGATGCAATCCTGGGCATTTTCTGCCATCCATCCCCACCATGTTCCCTCTAGAATTCCAGCCACTGCTACACAAAGGTGCAGCCTGCCAGGCCCCACAGGCTGAAGTTACAATCTTTTCAGTCTCTTCCTGCAGGACACCTGACACTACAACTATTTCAGCTGCCTCACCCACTCTTCTAACATACTTTCTGAGAAGGGGAGGCCAGAATTGACAACACTGAAAGCAAATGGGTACACCCATGTTTCACAAGGCCTCTCAAAGCTCTTACACCCAAGAACAAGTCACACCAAAGCTTTCTAGCCCTGCTCTCAGTTCTCCCCTGACACTGTCTGGCCCACTGTGTTTGGCTGCCAAAGCCTATGAGGCCAATATATTCAGAGCAAGTCCAGGGACCCACCCACATGCCTACTGATGTATCACACACCTATTTTTCAAAGAGGCAAACATTTCCTTAAGGTAGGCAATGGTCTTCTAAGAAAAGCTAGGATAAGAAGTTGTAAAAAGAAATGCAACATGAAGTGGCACAGTTGCAATATGTGAAGCAGCACAAAAGCCTCAAAACTCTCAGTCTGCTGAATGAAAAGCACATTCCTATTATGTGGAAGTTTTTCCCCTTGTCTGTGGATACAGGCATCAGATGTCAGTGGCTGTTAAGATTTGCATGCTGCATTCAAGGCCAAAAGCAGTGAGAAAAGAACACACACCTTGCACTACAGCTGGGGAACAGAAAGGTCACAGCTCAGTTGTCTGTCTCCATCCTTCCCCTGCAGAGAATCTGTATTTGAGGCCAATACTTTCTACCAGTTTCTAGACTAAAATCCTCAAAATTCTGAAATGCTGGCTTTAAAATGACACAATATTATTTTTCAAGTAACACTTAGAAAATTGATTTGCTACCAGTTTTGCACAAAACCAGCTGCAGATAGAATGGATGAAACAGCATGAAGGTATTATCAACTTTAATTTCTACAACAATTAAGACTAATTGTGAAATCACAGGAACAGATCATTTTAGTCATATTATCAGGGCTTTGCAATTCACATTTCTATGGAAAGTTTCACATAGGCTTCAGAATATAAAAAAGAAATTGGTAATTCTCTTGAGAAGGAAAATATGGTGCCTCTGACTCTAGACACACTGATCCTCATAAACACTGAAAATATTGTTTGAAGGTAACTGTAGCAACTTTTGCTCTTCCAAGATCACTAAAATAACCATAGAAATATCTTGGCTCTGTTGTCTCCTGCTCCAAGTAATAATATAAAGGGATAAGAGTACTTAGGAAGTTAAAAACCAAAACACAAACAAATGCTCAAAGCACAAACAACTTCTGCTCGGGAAAAGGAGGAAAATATAACAACACCAAGACCTACACAGTCACTTTCTATGCATTATGTATGTTGCTTGTGGAGGTATAAAAATGAGGGTTTAATATAAAGTTTTAAAATGAAAGAGCAACTTACAAAGACCAACAAGTCCAGGAAACATGAAAATAACTTGATATGAGGAAGAATCCAAGAAACAAAGTACTTCTGAAAGTAAGATGGGAAATGAGCAAGATGCATCTCTCTCTCCTGTTGCTGGCTGCATATGCACCTACATATTTACACAGTATAAGTCAAACTCTGAAACCTATGACCTAACCTTTAACATTATCTGCTCTACAGGAAACTCTGCTCTGTTCTTAGGCACAGTGTTTTTAAGTGCCATAAAGTAATCAAATGAGCATTTAAAATCCAGAATTTCAGATCTCAACCCATAAAATGAATACGTAAGTCACAGCTATTCAAAAACTGACATTTAACCTCAGATGTCTACCAGGCTGTCAAATTCTGATCTTCTCTTCCCTTCGGGTAACACTTCCTCTCTTTTAAAGCTGACATATAAATAGTGGCTGCTGTGCTTTGCTGACTGCCACAGACTATACAGTATCACTTATCTGGCGACACATTATGGCACCAGACTTTGTCAGAGCTGTCAAGACTTCAACCTTTTCTTTATGCTTCTTTGAAAATAACATCATAATAGTGTGAGACAATTTTTTCCCAAAACAGAGGCAGGCCAGCAATTGCACAGCTCAGCTCTGATGCAGAATACTTAACTATAAAGGTCACTTCTATTCTGAAATCCTACTTTTCTTTCTTCTTGCCTTCCTAATGATGTACCAGAGTATGATTTCTTTTCTATAGTATTTCTATGCATGAGTTTTACTAGATCTCCACTAATGAAAATGTCAACATTTAGAGGTGTTACTGCCCAAAAGTGTTCTCCTTGACTTCTGGTTATTCTTACATGTGAATGAAGTAAATTTTTAAAAGAGTTTTGGGTGCCATGAGGACTCCACAACTTCAAATACATGATCATTGTGAGACCACAGACCTTGTCAAAATTCAGCATTGTTCTCTACCAAATGGCTACATCCATGTAACTAAAGTTTACCCTGTCTGCCCAGACACTCTTCCTGTACAGGTAACATTCCTTTGAGGTTTCTATGAAAAAAGAACACCTGCAAACCCCTGGCTGCTTGGCCCTCACAGCCTCTTTTGACCACTCACCCAGCACACCATCACTCGTGCAGCTTTGTAGACCCACCACCGTCACTGCATATTCTCAGCTATGCTGAGTGCAACAGAGCCTGGTGTTACCTGTGACAGTCTTTTCAGGCTTTGAAAGCAGCAAAAAAGGAACACTCAATCATGGAAAGTAAAAGAATTCCAGGACATGGAGTGCTGACAACACAGCTACATCTGGCAGACATCCCACGATGCAAATGCCAACCTGAAGAACCTAGCATCAGCAGAGAGAACACCTGGCCACAGAACTGAGGGGAGATTTATTCACAAGGCAACTCGCTTCAGAAAGCAGTGACTTGTACTGATGTAAAATCCAGCACATTTAGAGTGACATTGCACATTCTACATATTTGATGCTGCTGAAAGAGGAATGTGTTCGTTCTATCCATTCAAACACATGCACACACCCTCACACACCACATTTCATCAGTTCCCATGTTCATCTGACAATTTCCTGACATCCTTCATCTTGCTGATTCTACAGAAAAATAATCTGGAGGTGGAGATAGTCTGTCCATGCAGTAATAAGTTGAAGCAGCCTACCAAAAAGTCATGCATTATTTGATGTGTGCAGGGTGGGTGTTAATTGAAAAAGAATCCATCATGACCCTTGTCAAAGGGCTAGAAAGGCAGAGCTTGGTTGCAACTCTTCTCACTGAAAGAACAGGAATGTTCTGGTCAGAATGAAGTTGTTAAAACAAGCACCTCACTTGGAAGTAAATCTGCTCGTACAGGAATGTCTCTATGAATTCACTAATGTGCTTTTAATTGTGTATAAGGTTTCAAGGCTACAACTCTGCAAATATTAAGAGAAAAGACTGAGTTTCCATCTTTAAAGGAACTACCATTTGTTTTCTAAGTTAAGGAATTCTAAAATGTGAAATGGTTGTCAACAAATTTTCATAAAGAAAAATACATTTAAGTATGGTAGCAATTTTGGTTTTAAACAATTGATCAGTTTCTCCTTTCCTTATTATGCACTACTGTCCTTCACAGCTTCCTTCAGTATTTGAAACAAAAACATAAATACATTGTTGACTTTATCAGTGCTCCAGCTATGCAAAATACAAAGGAATTAAACACATGCAGGGGTTATACCCTGAGGGAAAAGTACATGGAGTCAGAGTTGCAAAGCATAACTTGCTTTTTACCAAAGAAATAATTCGGCAACTCCATCACTATTTTCACTGGAGTGACTGATTAAATGAACAGGACTTAGGGCTCCAATTCCTAAGATGCAAATGGCTCAGTGAGCCGTAGCAGAGGTATGAGCTCTTGGCCAAACCTGCATTGCAATTTAGCAAAATGAACATTTATCCTGCAGCAAAGAGGCCTGACTAAACATGGCTGTAAGTAATGGCCTCTTGTCACTATAAACCAGTCCTCCAAAATGCAGGGAGGAATATGCCTGACAGGCTAATAAGAAGGATCTGAGGTACCATGGGGTGATAGTGATGGTAGAGAGTTTAAATCTAAATCTGACAGCTCATCAAAGAAAACAAACTGCACGTAGGGTACACAAATCTGGACAGCTCCATCTATCACAAAGGAAGGCACAGCCATCATGCCAACAGGCAGGCAGCATGCTAAGGCAGCAATGCCTTAATGCTTTCAATTTGGTGGGTTTTATATGCCCATATTAACTTCTGTGGCAGGACAAGGACCAACTGAATCATGTTCTTAAGGATGAGGAAGAAAACCAGAGTGCTTCCTTCAGACTGTGTATCTCTTATTTCCTAATTCTAAAGGATTTTGACCTTCTGACTTTTTCCTTCACAGCTGCCATAATGTCTCATGCTGTCAGTGATTTGAATCATCTACAGCTACTACACTGAACTTTCCAGTAACAAGTTTCCAAATTACTTTAATGTAAGATATAATATGATATCATATGGAGGTGATAGTGCTGAACTAAATAATTGGACAAGCCA